TCTTCTTTTCGGACACATCGTATCGACGACAAACTTATATATTCTACAACAATCTAGAGAGAGAAAGTAGAGAGAAGGAAGAGAAGGAATACCTGCAAAAACGGAGAAGTGATGAGAATGAAGAGAGGAAGAGTATTTATGGCAAAGAAGGAGGGGGGCACGACTCTCGAAGGTATTAATTAGGTCTACTCGAGCCTAAGTGGGCTTAAAAACCGTTCGCAACTATTCATATTCCGAGTTAAATGGACTTCAATTCCTAATAAACCTCTGGGCCCCCACGACTGTTCGCGTTCTCCTCCAAACTTCGAGCCAACGATAGCGAACGCGTCGTTGACGAGCTCAGGGCCGATGTTAACAAATGAGACGAACTCCGAGCCAACGGCCCACAATCGTAAAAGCGATCGTGTCCGGACCCGCGATTCGGCAAACCGTCATTCGGGGAGATGATGTAATGCATTGACTGACCCTATTATTCTATGGACCAGACAAAATCCGTTCCGACTTAAGTCATAACTCGGCAGCGGATCTGGGGGACGTACTATAGGGGGTGGAATATTCTTCCTTACCAGGTCTATATAATAATAGGCTCGGCCTATACGAGCTCAGGCCCGACGAGGTAGCTCTCCCGTGATCAACGGTTAACCGAGTTTAGCTCGGTTAATCCTTGCAATTAGTCGAGTTAAGGACGTTTAGGAAAAGCATTCACCTTAGTGGGCCGACCAAGGCCCATTTGGTAAAAGGCCTCCGAATATGCGATCAGCTCGCTAGGTCAAGGCACGACTACTATAAAAGGGAGAGAAGATGCAACAAGGAAGGCATCCGAAATCACTCTCACTCACAAGGCGGCTAGAATTAGGGTTTTCACTCTTGTACTTTCTTTTCAAGTTGTACGGTACGGCTGAGCTCTCCGCGAGACTCCGTCTCGCCTCTCATTTCCTCATTTGTAACCGAACTCTCTCATTAATAAAATTACACTTCGACTCTAAATAGTAAAAAAACGCGTTTGAAATAACCCATAGACACGTTCAATCACTCAATCACTGAACAGACCGAACTCGGTTAAAACAGTTTATACTATTTTACAACTCCCAAATTTCTTCTTTTATTAAGGAAATCATCGATTATCTAGTAAATGCACATTTCCTAATTTTTAAAAGCATACCATACCGTAAGAACTTTGGCTTCCGCACCCATATGTCGATCTTATCATCTTGATCATGAATATATTGTCTTAACGTCTTACTAGTTACTAGTGCACATAAATTTAAATCATTTCCTGAATTAACAAGTTTCATGTTCCAAATAAACGGTTATGACTTATCGTTGCGACCCATGTTACCATGTATTTAGATCTGCCAAACTGAAAAAAAATTAAACTAGTTTCTAAGACTTAATTTATATATAACCTGGGATCTCTACCTACAATGGTTTATAGTAAATATTTTGATGTATATAATTATTTACTTTAGTGCCGTGATCGTGTTATCATACGAGTACAATCCAGAAAATGCAAACTATTGATTGAAAAAAACAAAAAAGTATGTTTGGAAACATTATCTTTATGCTATTTTGGAGTACGCTCTAAATATATTTTTGAGCAAAAGTTGATCGAAATTTCCGTGTTCATTTCAAAAGAAAAGTATTAACGTGGAAAATAGGCTTGACAAATAAACATTCCGTTGTTAATGGCGAAAATTATGCAGTCAAAGTCGAGATGTGAAACCTTGACTCACTTTTCCTAGAATCTGGTATGGAACCACCTTCCACATAGGGTCATAATTAATTTTTACTATATTGTCTTCTTTAACCAATTTTAAACATATAGACCAAGAAAATAATGCATCTACATAATGTCTGTATATAAAGTCGTCCATTAGCTTTACATATCTATGATTAATTGATTCCTAATTAAACATTAAATTTTAACCAAGTTCGAATAGTTTCTTTGCTCTATTATGTTTAGTTTTTAATCAAATCAAATAAGATGATCACAGTTCCGTATTAAACAATCTGTCACTAAACTTGATGCTAAATTTAGTTCATTCAAGCATTTAAACTGTACTTAGTTAAGGTTTCCGTTTCACTTCTATAATTCTTAATTATGTATGTAAAACATAAGAAATTAACAAAATAGACATGTAATGCTAAGTAATTTTGTTGTTTAAATCGTATTTGCTAAAAACAAACTTTAAAGAAAAAGTCATCTTCGAAGTGAGATGGGAATACCTCCAGAAAAAAAAGTGAGATGGGAACCCGTAAATGACGGTAGAGAGACTTCGAAAGACAGAGAAACGTCTTAACGCAAGGACAGTCACGAGTCGTCTTTATTACTCAAGAGTCAAGATCTTTTTATAAACGAATATATCCAAAATTCTGTTGTTCAGTAATATTTTACTAGACGTTAAATTCTTGTGGAATGTGGTTCCACATCCGAACTAGTTCCAAAGCGACTTTTTCTGTTTCGAGGTTCTATGTTTGGTTTAGAAACTACATAAGGCCGACATCTGATCGTTTAAAAAGTTATATATACTTAAATTGCTCCAAAATTAGTTCGTTTAAAAGAGATAAAAAAAAAAACAGAAGCGAGCAAAATATCTAGCCGACTTCGAAAGATTCAAAATATCTTATATACATACATATATATATATATTGTGACAAAAAAAAATCATATACCAGTACTATATTAAAAGAAGAATATCTTCAAATTTTAAGTTATCCATTTCAGATTATTTAATCTTCCAATAGGAAATCTTTATATTGTCATGTCAGCACACATGAAATGGTTGAGTTAGATTCTTTGTTTTGTAAATCTATTTGCTATGATTTAAGACCCGCTAGGCCCAAAATGTTGAATTTGGTGTTTTTTTTCTCTCTAACGACTATATTCTCTGTCTCTTCGCCATTCCTGCATATTTGATTTCTACAACCCTTCATCACTCCATCTTTGTGCAATGAATCTATCATCATTTATGAGTTCACTTTGTCTTCATTCCTGTGATTTTCTTTATATAACTTTTTCCCCTCATAGACCTCTCCAATTCCACAAAAATTAATTGATCAAATCACTATTTCAGCTTCTTCTCCATCGACTGAAATGCGTGAGGAGAAGTTTCAGCGGATCTGAATGTGTTTATGTTTTTAATTTTGCTCCAGATTTAGAAAAACGGTGAAGGCTATGATCGGGCAGGTGAACAGGGATTAGAAACAAAATATTTCAAGCTCACGTGTCAAAGACATATTCTGTCAGGCTCAGTGTTCTCTTCTACTACAGATACTAAGCTTTCTGTAAGTGTAAACCAAAAACTCTGTTTCCAGACTCAGTGTTTATGTTTTTAATTTTTCTCCAGGTTTAAAACAAATACGGTGAAGGCTATGATCTGGTCAAGTGAACATATATTGGGAACAAAACATTTCAAGCTCACACATTACGAAGAGGCAAGATTTCATTTCTTCATCAGAGAAAACAAGGTTTGTGGTTTTCTCTCTATGTAAAACTATTCTTTGTCTGCAAATATTATTACTCTTTTTTGTCCAAAAAAAAAATATTACTCTTTTACTGATTGTGTTTAAAATACAGCTAAAACCGATAATTCAGAACTCAGGGAAGATTGAAGAGAAACCGGTTCACCGCAAGAAATTTAGTTTCTTCAAGTAAGTTAGATTTTATGTGCGTGTTTACTTCTTAATTGGTATTGATTTTTTCTGTTTTTTTTAATTATGGTTATTCTTTATGTTTACCTCCAAGTGTTTCAGAGATAATGCTAAAACTCGAGATCATAATCAGAGAAGGAACAAGGTAATATTTCTTTCTTCAGTTGAAATCTCATGGTCACATCAAGATGATTCTCATATTATATATGTTGCGTGTTGTGCAGGGAAAGTGGGAGACTATGAAACAGAAGAAGCAGTTTGGACTCCGTTGAAGAAGAATCACCTCTCATCGAAGAAGGTTTAGTCTCACAGGTTTGATCATCAGTTTCGCTCTTAGAGGTTTCATATCGCTTGAATTAAGGTTATCTTGAATTTAGGGTTTTCATTTCTGAAAAATCTCGACTTGAGCTTGAGTTTGATGATCTTATGCATGTTTCTTTATGTGTTTGTCGATTTTTAGCGAATTGGTAGTTAATTTGATTAATTTTGAGTTGTTATAAAAAAAACTTGTGCATCCATCTGATTCTCTCTGCACCATTCACTCATGTATTCAAGTTTTGCATGGCAATGTCATGCGCCAGATAGGTGTAGAAATCCTTGGTTTTGGAGCGTTGAAACTCACATGATTCCTTAAAGAGAAGATGCAAGAGAACAACATTACCTTCCAATCGCTCTACATTGTTCATACTTTAAAAAAGGTATTGCCATTGACCAACATGTTCCTGCTAGCAAATAATTACGTAGGTTTCCATCGTAAATAGCTCTTTTGTAAATCAAAGTAAAGTTCATGCATGTGCGAAGCTGTAAGATAGACATGATATACAATGCCTTATGTCCTCTAAATTATTTATTAAAAGTTAAACATAAGAAGTAATTGGCTATAGTTATTTCTTGTTAGCTGGTTTACATTATGTTTTTGCTACACGAACGTAGAACCTGTGTTATGTGGCGCTCGATTATAAAGCTGAACTTTCAAGGGACACACAAGCTTCAATGAAAATTGTGGGTGAAGGATGGTTTACTCTGTCAAATGAGCATTTTCAGACAGGGGAGATATTATTCTAACCACGTATTGCTGGACTGTAAGGCCTACTTATTACCATCAGTGATTAAGAAAAATAAAACCTTGAAGCCTCTCTAGAATATGGAATCTGAACAAGTTCTGAAGCTAGAAATGAAATCATCTGACCATACTATATAGTTCAGAAATCTGTTAATAACTTCTTCAGATTACATCATTGTAATGTGATTAAGCTACATGCATCTCATCCTGAGCTGTGTTTCTGTGAAGAATAAACATTGACCATATTTAAATATATTTTTCGATTGGTTTTTGTCATTGCGAAAACATGCGTACAATGAGTTTGCACCAGGCAGTCGCGCTCTGCATGGACCATTGTGATGCATCAGGAGTTACAGGTGATGATAGCTTGTTCAAGACTGTAGTATTGGCTGGAGGAAGCGCATGTTTGCCAGGACTTGCAGGTACAATAATACTACCACTATTGTGATTCCATGAATCTTCTCGGAAGTAAATAATCAGTAGTTCTTGCATACAACTTGAGAGTCATTGAAATTCAAATATAAATAATAGAGCTCCTCCAGTTGACAATGACATGCTTATGCGGGTTTTTTTTTGTGAGCTGTATCCAGAAAGGCTAGAGAAAGAACTGCATGACCACCTTCTGTCTTATATATGCAATGGATTCAGAGTAATCCCTCCTCTTTGTGGCGTAGACTCAGCGTGGCATGGAGCAAAGCTTATCAGTAACGTAAGTCGATGTTATTCTCTGTTGTAATATTGATGATATTCGTGAGTTTACCATTAAGTGACAGAACCCTCTTTCGCAACCTCCGTAGCGGATACCAAAAGATTATTTCTCAAGTTACTGTATGAAACATACCTTTGATATTTCTCTATACATGTTTTACTGAAATCAATGTGGGATTGATTGTCATTAAAGATGCATAAATCCCTTTTTCTGACGATATTTAACATTATTTCATCTGATGCTCACGCAACTACATTTTTATTAATTAATGTGTGTAGTTAAGCACGTTTCCTGGTCCTTGGTGTATCACAAGGAATCAGCTCCGGCGCAAATCAAAAAACTAATGTGGTGAATGTCTCATGATTTTTACGTCTCTTACCTTCACGAAGACTGAGCTATTCGGTTTGTAAGTGAAAGGCACGTAACAGTTTCCTGAAAATAGTTACAATATACTTTACATGTCTGAATGTATAGTTATAGACTAATAGTGTTCTCACCAAACTATGTATGGTTTGTACTTTGTGAGTATTTACTTAAACTTGGAGTTGTTTATTGACGTGAACATGTGTTGTATTCGCTTTTTGGACTTTTGAAGCAAATAAAATAAAGTTGATGTGGAGGATTATCTTTGTGAATGGGCACTACAAGCCAAATTAAGATATATTATGGTTTCATCGACTTATCTATGAACTATTAACGCTTCTTCGTGAACACTTCAATCACCTTTAAATTTCTTAAATGTTTCATCGATTTTTTTTAATACAACACTGAAGATTTTGGGGGACTCTTGGTGCCGTTCTGGCGTTGAAGTGGTTGCACTGCTACTATGTTTTCTTTTAAATTAGTAGTTTTCATAGTATTTCACATGTTTTCATGAATTGTATTTCTATCTTGTGAATTTCTTTGAGAAGCTCCACATCTATTTTATTAAAATAGAATCATTTTCTTATCTACTATAAATAAGTCTTAATAAGACCATTAAATTAGTAACATAACAAAATAAAAATCCATAATAGCTATATAATTTTATATGCATTATAGTAACCGCTATATAAACGATTCATCATCATATACAACTGATATCTAATTTAATCTACAACTTTAACCAACCACTAGATTTTGAACCCCTCCCCCCCTTAAAGAGGGCGGGACAACCGTTTTGCTTTAAATTTATGCATTTGCAAATATATATAGGCATGAGTATCCGGGTTCAGATATATTGACGTTAATATTTTTATTTTGACTCGGATTCGGAAACACAGAAAACTTATTTAATTAAATATTAAGTAATTACATTATATTCGATTGCGGAAAGTTCAGTAGTTATAAGATTAATTCTATAACATTATATTTTCCGATCAAGATATGATTTTAATTACGTTATATCTCAATTTAATGTGGAAGATGTATTTTGGTTAGAACATCAATTTAATACAGTTAAACTTTTTGATATTTTACGTCAATAACAGAGAAATTAATATATTGATGTATTTTAGCTCAATGTTGAATATATATATATATATATATGGTATGGGCAATTGAAATTATGAATCTTATTTATAAATTTACTTATTTAACCATGTTAATTTTTAATACATATCTTTATTGGTATTAAAATATTTAAATTTTATCTTTCACAATTATGTTTATTAAATAAGATTAAAATGAATATAATATAAATATACTTAAATGATAATGGAAATCAATAAAACAAAAATAATTATGAATTATGGACTTTGTTATTCCTTCTCTATATAACTAAATAGATTTGTTATTAAAATTTACACTATGTTCAATTATTATGATGATAATGATGTTGGTTGTATCTGATACTTACTGGTCTTGTTTGTTTTGGTTTGTATAATAAATTTCTATTATATTCTAAATTATAGTAACTTTAGTATTACATATAGATTTATAGGTGCACATTATTAATGATATCTTCTATTACTTGTACAGGAACTAATATGCAATGATGTCTACTACATTCGACGAAATGGAAGCTAAAACAAAAAGTAAGTAATACTTGAAAGACTTGCATATTTACAGATTGAACATTATTTATTATCATAAAGATATATATACATAATCAGATTACTTCCTTTACCTTATGTAGTTGAATCTAGAAGTCTGTCCAATTGATATAAAGTTTTCCCTCGGTATCATTAAACTTTATAGGATCTTCAAAGATTGAAAACATATAAGTCATTGATCAATTTGATAAGCTACAAACTGTAAAATATTAAGCTATTTAGTTTATGAAGCATCTTAACCTTTTGTCTCACCAAACTGTGCGTTGAATTGATTCCAGGTATGTATCACTTTGATTTGGATGAACCATGTCGTTTTCCAAGGGTTAACCTTATCAGGGTATGATATCTTCTTTTTGAAATAGAATTTCTTTGAAAATATAAGAAACGATCGTATTTGCTTTGAGTATTGTAGGCGCTTGTATTTATAAGAAACAATAGGCCGAGTTTTTAGAATATTTTTAATATAGTTGGAGAACATCTCGTTATTAAGCTATTTAGTTTTTTAATTGACTTTATGTTATTGATATTACAGAAGATATGTGGCAATAGGATTGGCTGAGTATTTATGATTTATATTATTGGTAAATATAAAAATAGCGAATTTTCGTTTTTTTTGCTTAAATTTATGGAACTTCAGAAAATATAGAATACTTGCCTAAATATTAGTGTTTTATTTTATAGTATAAGATGGCCGAGAATATTTGCCTAAATATCAGCCTTGAAAATATTGAAGATAATTTTTTTTTAGTGATTATCCAAAATTAGGTTGCTGGGTTACTTTTAATTAATTATTGAATAAATTATAAATATTTGCATTTGGGGGTTAGGGGTTACAACTTTTTTTTATCACAGCAGTGACGGTCTAGTATGTTAATTTAAGCTAAATACAATACATTTTTTTTGGAATATAGCTTTACCATTGATGAATTGGCAATAATTTATGCCTAGCTTAACCATCGATGAACTGGAAATTTACTATGAACTGAATGTATATTTAACTATCGAAGAATGTATAGTTCAAATGTTGAAGCTTGATGTATTAAATGGACGGGTCGTTTCTTGAAAACACTGATTTTCAAAGACATCGATGATTTTAATTCAATATAAAGTTTTGAATAAAAATGAATAGAGCTTTATCATCGATGGTTTTAATTTAATGCACAGTTTTGATTGCATACATAATATGATCGGTTATAAATGTTTAGTTACAGCAAAAAGGGGAAGATTTTTTAAAAGAAATATTTTGATGTTGTATTAAAAGGAAAAAACGTGGAATATAACTTAAAATAAAAAAACATAGGTGTTAAATTAAGCGAATGACATTGTTTTGTAAATGTTGTTGAAGCAGAATGATACCTCAAAAAAGGACTTTGATTTGGGATTTGAGTTTGAGTTTGAGTTTGAATAAGAAAAAAAAATATTAGGGTTTTTTCATGTTAAGTTTACTTATCAAAGTAAGGACTATGTGAGGTTGTCTAGTTTACGGACAATATATTTTAAGATGTGTAACAATAGATCGAGCTTTGTATTTGAGAAAATTGTTCATGTATTTCACTCCCGTTACAATCTAACTCTTTCTTTTTTTGACATGCGTTTTAAAAGCGCAGGATGTTCGATGATAAAAAAGTTTCACCAAAAATCACAGCTGTTTGTTATTTTATAAGAATGTTATCTATTTAAATCACTGTTTTTAAATTCGACCCGTATCTACCGTTAAATTGGTTAACCCAGTGATCCGATATGTAATTCAGTTTGGTTTTAACAAAAATATATATATTTGAAAATTTGATAAAACCCATAAAAAAATGCTAAAATCCAAGCTTAATCAACTAACCAATATATGACTAATATGTAATCTAGTTTGATTTAAATTGTTATAGTTACATAATTTGTCACTTTCTATTACTTTTGATTTTGTTGGAAAGATATGATAAGAATATTGGGAAACAAAATACCTACAAAATAGGAGCATAAATATAAGAGTGTCATAATTATTATCATTGTAAAATTATGGAGATATTAAAAAAAAGTTCTTATTTTAAAATGTATTTATTAAAATATAATTGTATATAGAACTATTATAATAAATTTATATGATAAACATATTTAACTATATATGAAAGCGTGGATTTGTTTCATGTGAAATAGAAAAATTCTGTATATGTATATTCTATTTGTATATTATAGTAAAAACTATATTAAGATGCATGGTATTATTTAGATTTACATATTGGAGAAAACAGTGTATGTTATTGAGTTAGTGACAACCGTTACTTCTAATTTAAAAGTATAAATTTATTATCTGATAACTAAAACACCAAGATAGAGGATTATTTCCCTTATTTATATGCGATGTTGATATTTATCTTATGCATAAATATTAGTGTACATTTAGCATATTTATGTTTTAAAGCGTAAATTAGGAATTAAATGGGTTTATTATTTTATTTTTGCGTTATAAGATAAAAGATCTTTTAGACCATAATTTTTTTTATAATGTTTATAATAGCAATACTTAATAGGATTTTTATTTGGAGCTGATAATATATATTTTATTAACAAAATTAATCAAGATGGGCTGTTTTTATGGATCCAAATACTTATATAAAAGCCAAATAAAACCTAATTGTCCTAAGCCCAGATGAATGATTTGTTGTTAAACGATATACTGTAGTTTTTTTTTTCTTTGTCGTTTTCAGACAGCTTCTTCGGTTAAATAAGAGAGTTATCGAATGGCAACTGAAGAAACGCAGGGGCTTCCATGTTTACATTCGGCGGAATCTTCAAGGTAAATCCTTTCCTAAAGGATCAATAATTATGTTAATACTCAGTTAATTAAAATCCCCATGGTTAACCCTTTTTATTGTTTTGATTTCTTTTGCATGTACTCTCGGATGGATTGAATGGATATATCGGATGAAATAAATTCTGATTCGGCTGTCTGAAACAAAATCTGAGGCGTTCACATGACCTCAGTCGATTTGGTATAGAAATGAGCAAATCTCAGAAGGTTTGTCTATGATTGCAAAATCCATGATTCATAGACCAGTTTGTTGATTTTTTTCTTCCAAGGATGAATTATGTATATATTCTTTGTCTTATTAACCTTAATATGTTTATCTTTTTAGGTTAATTTGGACAAAACAAAAATAATTCCTCTCTCTCTACTGTCGGTTTCTCTAAAGTGAAGATTATAGTGATCTTTCCGAGAGTTTTTTTTTTGACAGAAGTGATCTTTCCGAGAGTTAGTCTGATCCTGATGGTAAATCACCTAAATGTTAAATTTGTTTCTCTTATTTATCTGTCACATT